CTGGCATAGCTTTGCAAAGGGGGTGCAGTTGCATCACCCCGGCAGATGCTTGCAAGCCTCTGAGCTCTGAGAGTGGCTCTGCCCAAGGCCGCCTCTTGCACCCAGCAATTTCTCTAGATGGCTGTTTCTGGCCAGCTTAGACTGAGCAGCAAGAGGAGGGAGGGAAGGAGACTGGGGCACTGGCTGGAACTGGTGCAACTCCGTGCTCCTTGCTTCCTCCCCTCTGTGCCCCCCAAGATGCCCCCCTTTCCCTCCCCCAAGGCACAGTTGTGACCTGTGGTTCTCCCCATGCCAGTGCCAAGACGGTAGGCAGGGGCTTGGTCTCTGGGGTCCCCGCTGCAGGATCACAGAATCATGGAATGGAACTCTGGACAACCCTGTGACCTCCCAGATGAAGTCCGGAGACCACAGGACTGTACCTGCGTTTGATCATTCGATTGCATTGATCAACAGTGTTTGATTGTGTGAGTGCAAAGCACTGCACCAAAGTTTGATTGCATTCTCCTGATTGCATGAGTTCCCTGGTCATTTTACCTTGGAAGAGCAGTATGAAATCATTATTTTCACCATCTTTTGAGAAACAAAACACATGGCTAGACCATGAATAGATGTGCCATCTCTCTCTTGCTTTAGAAAGATTGGTTTCATCCTAATGGAGACCTTCTTTAACCTGTTGCCTTCCCGATTCCTTGGGCTACAACTCCCAGCCTTCTTAACCATGAGCTCTGCAGGATGATGCTGATGGGAGTTGCAGTCAAATATTTTTGAAGGCATCTGGTTGGTAAAGGCTGGTACAGAAGGAAAAACAAAATTCGTGAAGCAAGAGGCACAGCTTGGATTTTTAGCTACCATTTTAGAAGAAGCCGCATCTCCCTCCGAGAAAATGTGATGGTGCTTTGCCAGCTGCACTATCGGAAAGTTTTTAAATAATTAAAAAAAACCTTTTAAAATCTACTCCCTGATTAATCAGGGGAAGCTTTTAATTGAATTGGGGACTAATTGATTGAACATCCCAGCCACGCTAATTGATTCTGGTTTTTTAAAAATATAAGAATGTACTCAAATGTGCTAATTTCTTCATAAAACATACAAAAAGAACGTGAGATGGAAAACAAAATCAAATGTGAGAGAAACTGAAACTGACAGATTTGTCCATTGAGAGTGCCGCTTGCCTGGCCTCCAGAGTCTGGGTTTGAATCCTTGTGCAGTCAAGCATGTTTCTCGTGCTGAATGAGGTTTGCTGTTTATTTTTATCTGATTGTCTCTCACCTCTAACAAGGACGTAGCCAACAGATAAGGTGGATGGGATGCGAGGAAGACCTTTGCTCATTGATTTTGTGGGTATGGAGGGACGAAATGTCCATTTGGTTTACTTCTTATAAGAGCTCACCCAGATCAGCCTCTCTGCAGAAACAGAACACAAAGAATTCGAGATTTTAAAAATTCAAATCCCTATCCATCCCAATTTGACTGCCCTTGCTCTCCCACCAAGGAACACCATGCATGTACTGAATTTTATGGTGTTGAACTGAATTTTGTGGATTGCGTTGTGTTTTATTTTATATTTTCTTATGTTGCTCTGGAAATTTTGGCTACAGGGTGACACAAAAGCTGAATGAATGAATATGCGAATCAAGAGCAGCCCTGGGACTTTCTTTCTTCTGGTGAGGTAGCAAACCTTGATTCTTTGTCGCCTGAATTTTTGCTGCAAAATCAACCTCATGGCAAAGATACAGAATCAGTTTATTTTTAATTAATTTAGGGCACAATTTTATATATGTTTTAGCATGGCTGCCTGGGGAATGCCAGGAGCTGTAGGACTTTTTTCCTGTCTAAATATGAATATTTTATCCATTTATTTAATGTTTTTATGTCCTGCCATTTTCCTTCCCAGGAGCTGAAGGCAGTTTATGTAATTCTCCTCCTGCTGCTTACCCTGCAATCTTACCTTCAGGATAACAACCCTGTGAAGTAGGCTGGGCTGAGAGGCCAAGCAGTTACCAAACAAGGCCACGACATGGACAGACAATACGTTACACTCTCCTAGGTATTGTTTGCTGATTGATCCCCATTTCTTTCTTTTTAAAGAGTATATAATTCTCTTCTTCTTCTTTCTAAGTGTATCATCAGAATGTTAAAAACACATTAAAATAAATTTAAAACAGCAAATCTATAAAAGCACTATGAAATATCCAAGTAAAGGAGACCAATAGAAATGGAAAAGCCTAAAATGATAAAGAGGTGCTGGCCTTGCCCTCATTCTGATAACCTTCCGGAACCGGGCAAGTTACTCCAGGGAGGGTTTTCCAAAGCTGGGATGCCACCCCTGAAAAGGCTCTGTATCTGCTATCCTGCTCCCAAACCTCAGAGAATACAAGAACCTTCTGTTTCAGTTCAGAATGAAAGCCTTTAAAATGGTACTGTATTTGATGAACAGATGGAACGAGGCAGCATGAGTACGCTGATCTCCCATACTCATTTTTTTCAGTCTTTACTGTCAGGATCTGACCAAGACTTTTTGCTGCCTGAACCAAAGGATAAGGTGGCATTTCCCCCATTCTCTACATAATACTCCAGTGGTAAAATTGGAAGTGCCGATGCTAATCTTAGCGGTCTTCATAGCCAATCCCCAAAAACTGAGTCCAAAGATGCAGCTAGCTGTGTGGATTCATTCCAGCCACCCGGTTCTGCCAGCTTTCATCTCCATCAGCAGCAGCTCTTTTGTGAAGTCGACAGCCCTGCAATGAGCATTCAAGACAAAGACACCCCAACGAACTTTGCATCATCCCAGGGGATAATACCTGGTTTAGGGGGAATCGAACCCCCTTCTGCTACTGTGTGAATAAACCGACACGTGAAGTGGAGCAAATGACCCCACACTCCAAAACAATGCAAACCAATGACAGTAGCACTTGCAGTTTATATGTGTATCCCTTTAAATATGCCATCTCGGCATGTGGATATTTGAGACATTTTGTCATGCAACACCAGCTTTGGTGAACGTGAGAATTGCAGCTAAGCTCCAAAGGAACGGGAAGCTTTTCAAAGAAGCATAGAACAGTAGAGTTGGAAGGGGCCGTGAAGGCCATCGAGTCCAACCTCTGCTGTTCCAGGACTACCATTTACACCTTCCCACTCAGATGGCTGTCCAGTTTTGCCTTGAACGTCTCTACTGTGGGAGAGCCCACCACCTCTCTAAGCAACTGGTTCCACTATCATGTTGCTCTGACAGTGAGGAAGCGCTTCCTGATGTCCAGCCTGACTCTGGGTTGTCGCAGCTTGAACTGATTATTCCATGTCTACACTCCGGCATCGGCAAGAAGAGATCTTGACCTTCCTCTCTGTGACATCCTTTGAGGTACTCACAGAGGGATGCCAGGCTGTCTCTCCCTGCCTCACCTGGTCCTTCCTTTTCCTTGTCTCAGCTAAACGAGACACAGAAACATTGTCTCACCAGTGAAGATGCTTTTGTCCTGCCAGCGAGAATGGGCCATGCTCCAAATCTAAGCAAATGTTCAGCACAAAGGGCAATGCGGAATTAGAGGACATGTTTCCCTCTCTTTGGATAAACTCGGGACCTGGTCTCCTTCCCCTGGTTCTAGGATACAGAAAGTGGATCTTCCTTGGGCCTAGACTCAGGGTCCCAGTCTTGGCCAAGAGACAAATCGATCCTGGTCTAGCTACGATCTCTTCCAACCAGGAGGGCTTTTCTTTGCCACCTGATGTCAGTTTTCACTGGCGAGGCAACCGAGTGAGACCAACTGGCTGCAACGCACTGGCACCAGGGCTGAGCCCCAGCCCTGGTATATTCATGTGGCTTGATGCTTTGTGCCTTTAAAGGCTCACGAACAGCCACCATTCCTGCGTAGCAGCCAACACTGTTTATTCTGCAGCATGTGCTTCCTATTTTTTGCTTAATACTAATTCACAGAAAATCTCTCTGAAGAGGAACCACCCATCAACACATATGGATCCAGTCTTGGCAGCAGGGTAGTCCATCAGAGAGCTGGGGGAGTTACAGAGTCGTGGGGAGAGAGGATTTAAAGCAGCAAAGGCAAAAAAGGCGCAGGCGAGTGGTAAATGTGGGAGCAAAGGCAGACCAGAAAGCAAAACCACTGAATGTTCGATGGGCTACTCCTCCAGGCGAAGGTCTGCAGCGTCCTTCCTGCTCCACTCGCGGGTAGCAGCATCTCCTCTTAAGAAAGGAAGCCTTCTGTAACAGCTGACTTCTGCTTCTCTCCATATCACCCGTTACCAGTGGCGAGTGAGTCAACAAAGCTTCTTATGAACCAAAAAACCGCCTCAACCATTACTTTGCCTGTGTCTGCACACACATTTTGAAGGAGAGACAAAAACGAAGCACCCACAAAGATGTTGCAGGCCCTGGTTGACGTCACAGATCAGGTGACTTTTCTCTTCCAGTCAACGAATCATGCTCTGGAGTCATTTGAGTCTCAGAAAATAGAGTAGAGTTTAGCACTCTTTCAGGCCTTACAGACAACCCCCGAACCACAAGCAAACTGTAGTCGACAATTTAGAAGAGTACCTGAGCCTTGCTGGGGAGGTGCATCCCCTCCTCGTGCTTTTCCACCCCAGCTGCGGGTCTCTTGGGTCTGTGTGGGGTGAGTCCCATCCATCCATTTTGCTCTGCATCCTCCCAAGACCTGCTCTTCTTTGGGTGGGGGCCATCTATCTCTTTGGAAGACTAGTTGGCTCTCCCCTCCCTTTCATCCTAAGGACGATGCGGCACGCATGTGCTTCCATGGAGAAATTTGTGGCTGAACATTCCTGTGGTGATTCAGGAATCAGATCCTGGGTTATAAACAGGCATAAAACTTCTTAGGGGATTTTTTCTTCCCCCCTCCTCCTCTCGCTTTTTGACTTTTCTTTTCTTTCCCTTTTTGCATCTCGGCTGAACCGTCTTCTTATGTGTTTTCGTTTCTTCAGAAGAGTAGGGCAATCCAAGCAAACCACAGCGACTGGCTTGGAGACGCTCTGAGTCTTCAGTTCGGGCCATGGCTTCCAACAGCATATTTGATTCCTTTACAACGTATTCTTCAACTTTCTTGCGCGGTGAGTACCGATCTCTCCTCCTTTCCTCTGAGGCAGGAAGCGCTGTTGTTTGTCACTCACTTAAACTTGCAGCCTCTTTTAATAATCCTGTTGGCACATCTTCAGTTGGATGCAAGCTCACTGCAAACCGGGTGGTAGAGGAAGGAATTTTTCCTCTTGTGTGTGGAAGATGCTTAAGGGGAATCTGCAGCGGGAAGGCATGGCAAATGTTTTACCTCTCCTGAATTGTGCTTTGCCAGGTAATTACTCTTTTGGAGGAGGGCTTGACTGTATTCCATTGAGGTTGTTGGCTTGCCTGGACTATCAAAATTCGCCCTACGAATGTGATATAATAGGAATTCTCTGTTTTGCTGGCTTTGGGCTTTTGCTTCAGTTATTTTCTCACTGTGGTGTACTTGTGGTCAAATAGACAAGCCAAGAGTTCATTAGCTTTCAATGAAATCTTTAGGCATAATATTAAGTGGGAGTAGACCTTTTGTCTGTTTGGGGAAGAGCCTCAAAGGTTGATAAAATTCTCTCACTGCAGCCTAAAGGGAAACTAAGCTGTTTGTGGCACAAAGTTAACCAACATAAAAAGACCAACCAGGCAAGAAAGCATGTCACCGAACAACAAAATCACTGGGGAGGTTCTCCTGCACAAACCGCACTGAAAAGAAATTGGATGTGCAGGAGCATAGCCACGCGTCTTCTCGCAGCTCTGCATTAGTTTAAGTATAGCCCCTTTCCTCTGGATCCAGCAGTTGCACCCGTCCTGATAGAAAGACTGACCCAAAGGCTTTTATACTTCAACCTAAAGCTGGAAAGATTAGGCTTGGTTCTGCTGTAGCATTTCTCCACCACAGAGGGGTGCCAGTATAAGAATGTGTTCATCCATTTATTTGCATACATTCATAAACCACGTATACCTACAGACTTCAAAGCAGTACGCAGCAAGGATGGGATACCCATGCGAAAATGGCACATCAGAAGAGGTTTAATTATGAATTATTGTTTAATTATTAAAATGTATACCCAGTCCTTCCACAGAAATGCCAGCACACTAAGTGACCAATCCCCAATTCCCCCCACACACCTTTCACAGGAAATAGTCCTGAGCAGAGAAAGACCGGCATCTAGCCTCCATTTGTGAATCTTTCCAACAGCGTGTGCGAATTGCACAAATTGCTTTAGGCGCACCCACTGCATGTGGGTTTCATTTGGATAGGGTGGTGAGGAGGAAGGCTGGCTCCCCGTTTCCCACCTCCCCAGGCTGTATCACAATTAGTTCTTGGCATTCCCATCAGTTAGGACCGCTACTGAAAAAAATGGGGTGTCTGAAATCGGATCGGCCGGGTGAGCTGGATGCATGGTTCTGTGGAGCCTCATTGTTGTGTCTGCATGTCAACAGTTTATGCTGGCTGTAACGGGCCATGGTGGGTCGGGCGAAATACCAGTTCGGTCCCATGCTGGTTTCTTCAGCAGCCCACAAGACCCAATCTGGGAACTCACAAGTAGGGTATGAAGCCAGCAAACCTTTGCTTTCAAAGCCTCCAGTTCTGGCACTTGGAAGGGCCCTTGGGCCATCATCTTCATAGCCATGGCTAGTCTTTATTTCTCCCTCTTGTTTTCTTCCTCCTCCATGGACTTGTCTCCTTCCTGCTCTAAAAGCAACTTGTGGTCAATGCTATGTCCCTCGGGAAAATTCCCTAAATTTGATTTCCCCAACCTGGCAGCTGTCCAGATGTGTGCGACTACAACCTTCATCTTCCCCTTGCTCAGGGCATGATGGAATTTGTAATCCAACACCTTTGGAGGAGTACCAGGTTTGAGAAGGCTGACTGGGTGTATCATTTCAAAGGGTGCCTTTTTATATGCTATGAATCTGCTACCGAGCAGTAAGTTTTAAATTTAATAATATTGATTATTCACCTACATTAAAAGAAATGTTCTAAACTGTCATGTACAAGGGCATTAATAAATTGTACAAATAATTACTGGAGACAGAAGGCTAGCTTAACTTCCTGGGAATGATGGTTGGAGGAATTACGTTTTCAGTAGGCACTGGAAACCCAGAGAGAAATCTTTCTGTGAAGAGACTTGTATTGACATTGAGTTTCAAACAGTCCTGTATGTAAGCAAAGGCAGTGAAAATTCCCATCTACCCCCCTCCCCTACCGGCACCTATAAAAATGCAGAGATCTCAGTCAAAATAATTATAGTGAAAGAAATTTACTAAGCACCTATAGTAAGCAATCATTATTCTACACAAAGGAAAGGATTTAGTTGAAATTCCAAGGTTTTGTTTGACAAATTTTGGAATTAAGCTGCAGTTTGTACCTTTTTCTGCAAGACTTTCTGGTCCTTAATTAAACCCTTGTCAAGCAGAAATTCAACAGATAGCAGTTTACTGAACCTTGACATGCAGGGCAAGAAGTGTATCTCACAGCATCTTTCTCTCTACGAGAATTATAAATTTCACAAGGACAGGAATCTTGCCAGAGAATGAAAAGGCAGCCCTGAAACAAACATCAACATGATTGACTGGAATCCAATAAGAAACACAGAAGTTCAAAATTTAAAGGCCAGGCATTCATTCTTACTTTGTTTTTAGCACTTCTTTTAAGGTTCTCCTCTAAAGAAAAGTACACAAAGATTGTGAGATTTGACCCCATTGCTTAGCTGTGTTTGTTGGCCTGCTGGTTGGGCTAAATGCATCTTTTTCTTGGATTGCATTAACGCGGAAGAAAGATCCAGAGCACATATCTGTGGATATGTGGGTTTTCAATTTTGAATTGAGTCAGCTGGTTGAATGCAGTCAACAGTTTGCTTTTGTCAAACATGCATGGAACAAATAACCTAGTTGCTTCCACCTTTCTGTCTCAGCTACCCGGTTTTCATTCCAAGTTCGAGTGAACTGAAATTCATCGTAGCAACATGACTAAGACAATCAGTTGTGACTTAGCGTAGGGAGTTATCGCTTTAAATCTCACCTCTGGCTTAAACAGCATAGTGGGCGAGGATATATTGTTCAGGAAATCAAAATCTCTTGGCCTCCGTCTTCCCCTGTAGAGTTGCTGCAAAAGACGCATATATCTGTGAACAGGCACTTTGGACATTGAATGATTGTTAGTCTGCAGGCAGTGTCTTGGGGTTGCAGATTTTGTGGTTGTTGTTATTAATGTTACGGTGCTTGTTCTTTTTACCGGAGTAAAGTCACTGGATTATTGGACTGTTTGAATTTAACCATTCAGATTATAAAAATGTTTTATCAGGCTACACAACAAAGAAAGCAGCTGTAGCGTACAGCAAGGATTGTGGGATTTGGACCCAAATGTCACCCTGCTCTGAACAGTTTGCTGGCTTGCTGCGAGGTTCAATGCATCTTTTTCTTGGTTTTCCTGCATTAATGTGGAGGAAAGATTCCGCAGGCATACCTGTGGACATGCGGGCTTTAGGTCTTGCTTTGGAGAAGGCTATCAAAGTTTATGCAATCTTTAAATGCATTTTCGCACCTTTAAGGGCTGCCAACCTCTACTGGACAGAGGGGCATTTAGTCTCGCATCCAACAGCAGCTGGCCAGCTGCCTCAGGCTCTCAGACATGCACGTATGGAAACAAGCGCTTCCCCCCCCCCCCATTCATCCATAATGGCTGATGCTCAGGAACACACAGCTTCTGCAAAACAGCGATCCCACGAAGCGGTAATCTCCTGTGTTTATTTATTTATTTTCAGGGCTATTGCTGAATAGCCCTCTAAGGGCTCTCTAAGTGGCTAACAGCATTTAAACCAGGCCAACAGCGCAATTATAAGTACAGGGGGAGGTGTGGGAGGGACCCTGTTGATAGCAGAATGAGCTTTTACAATCAGGTGTTAAAGTCAGGTTTCAAAATACCCTTGAAAGAGGACAGTTTTTGTGTGGTGCTGAGACAGAAGTAGTGACGGCATCAGGCAGACGTCTTTAGGAAGCCCATTCCAAAGGGCAGGGCAGCCACCAAGAAGGCCCTTCTAATTGCCGCCCCTTTTGCTTCTTTTAGGGATGCCTCTTTCAGAAGGACTGAATTCCCCCAGATCTTAATGGGAGGGTAGGAGCATATGGGAAAAGGCAGTCCTTCAAGTAACCAGGATCCAAGCAGTTTAGGACTTTGCATGTTAAAACAAGGACTTTAAATTGGGCCCAGGCTTCAGCGGGTAACCAGTGCAATTTTCACAGAATGGGTGTTATGTGAGCATGCAAACTGATCTGTGACACCTGAGGAACAGCCCTGGTTTGGACCCATGTTGCCCTTGCATTCAGCTCTCCACACTCCAGTCCTTTGTGGCCAAAACACCACCATGCAAGTGGTGTCAGAAGGCTTGGGAGAACCTCAAAGTTTGCAGAAGTGTAAGAAATCTTGCTGCAGTTAAAACAATGTCATAGCAGGACGTGGACCAAGTGGACCAATAGCAATAGAGCGTGTTTTGTGGTGACATATGGAGGGAGGAAAACTAGAAAATTGGGGGAGGAGAAGCACTATGACTCCCCTGCAAGTTTATACCGGATAAGAGAACTCCATCCTGAAACGTTTGGTTGCAGCTCATCCTTGTCATGGACAAAAAGACATTGCTAGGCCAAGCATGGCTATGGCTCTTCCTGAAAGCCACCGACCCTGTTGGCCATCCCCGTATCTGGTGGCAGCGAATTCTTTAGGCCCTTTAATGAGGCATTCCTTGCAAAAAGATTGCTTCTGTTTGTTGGAGTCTTTTGCAAGCAACTTGCTTGGACGGTCCCCAGATTCAGGTGTGATCCACATGCCTGCATTGCCTGTGCGTTCTTTGGATGGTTCATACTCGTAAGCACTGCATCATGTCCTGTCTTAGTCACCTTTTGAAAAACTAAAAATGCCCCAAAGCCACAACTGCCTTTTCTTATAAGGAGAGGCTCACCGTGAGCTGTGGGCTGTTTTTCTGTCTACATGGGCATCGGATTGCATGCTAAACCTTGCATTTCCCACAATCACTGAAACCACAGCATGTGCGATGCA